CAGAGACTCTGATGCCCTGCCCTTATGCTTGCCTCCATGAGTACCAGGGACATAAGTAGTAACACACACCTAGATGCAAGCAGAACACTCTAACAAACAAACCAAAATCTTTAAAAATGATAATGGTGCATCTTATAACTGGTGGCATCTTAGATTTAATAATATAGACTAGAAATAATAGACAGTCAGGGAAGACCTTTGTTTCTTGAAGCCACGTTCTGAAGAGTGAGAAGGAAGCAGCTAAACCAAAAGAAAGGACAATCCCAAAGGCAGAAAGGAGCTAGCAGCCCCTGAGAGCCTGAGTGGGAGTTACTGTGGTTGAAATGAGGAACTCCTTCTTCCTGGGACCTCTTCCCAGGAGTACCTAGAAATGCCTCAGGGTACCAGGTGTTCAGGGTGTTTGTTCATTTGCTTTCCTGTGTTAGAGGGGGAAAGCCAGGCATTACAAAGTCTGGGTACTCTACCACAGAGCTAGCAGTTCCACCTAGAGAAACCCCAGGCATTACAAAGGCTAGGTACTCTACCATAAAGCCAGCACTCCTGCCTGGAGATTTCAAAGCTATAATTTGGAAGCTGGATTTAAACAATAGAGTGATGCAAATAACTTGCTAGATGGAATGGGTTATTCTAATGGAGAGGAAATATGAAACATGTACTATTCAGTTGTGAGGCTAGATCAAAATCAGGGCTAAGAGCAATCAGAGAGTGATTGTGGCAAGGGCAAGAGATGGTCTGTGTTGAGGTGAACCAACGGCAGTGGAGAAGAATGAGTTGAATTGGGGGATGCTTAGTGTGCCATACAGGTCCCTCTGGAAGCCTGGCCAGATGATGTAGTGAGTGGGGAGGAAGAAGTGAAAAAAGAAAAGCTTGATTTCCCTCACTTAGCTCCTGTGGAGACATTTTGTACTCTCAAGTACATTCCAAGACAAGCACTCATGGGGCAGACACCTTTCTGCTTCCAAGCAGCCCCAGGTACCTTCAGTTCAGTTCTCCTTAGCTCCTCCTCCTCCTTCCTGCTCATATATTAGCCACTGTGTGCAAATATGGTGATGAGGGGGGCTGTGCATAATGCCGTTCACCTGGGGCTCTCTGCATATTTCACTGCTATCGCAGCATGGTCTTGGCTAAACAGATAGAGGGGAAATCCTGGGTTCCTGGAGTCCACTAAACCCAGGTCCTCTCCCATCACAAGCCCCAGAGAGGCTTCCAGCAGTGATCAGAATATAAAGAGGGAGTGGTGAGTCTCAGACTCTGTAACCCCAGAATCGTCTACAGTTGGGGCTCAGTGTGTGGGCAACCTGGCCTCAGCTCTTGCAGCTTCCACCTCTCATTTTTTTCTTCATTTTTTTTTTCTATCGAGTCTATGTCATCTGCTGTGAAGTCACCAGGAGAAACCTCACAGAGCGCTCACCACCCTCCACCATGTGGCAATGACCCAATCCACTGCCTGCTGCCTCCCCAGGGATTTCGAGGGTGTGGGTGTAGATGAGTTTAAGTTTGGATGATGACAAGGGAACCACGTGGATGTTCCTGGTGATGAGTGTGCCTGCTGCTCACCCACTCCTGCTGCCTCCTGGAGCCACAGCCAGTACCAGGAGACTCAGTAGGCCTACTCAGGCCAACAGAGTACCACCTCCTCCTGCCTGCTCATTCCACTGCACCTGGCTTGCCTCTCCATCATCTGGCACTTGAGGGACCATAGCCAGTGACATGGTGATAAATCTGGCATGTATCCTTGTTTGCTGCCTCCAAAGTTATCTGCTCTTGTGTATTTTGATGTTCTCTGGTGTTTGTCATCCTTTCTGAGCATTTGTTTAGTATTTGCTTAGGATGCCTGGGGTGTTGGGTTCACCTCACAGCTCCGTGGCATCTCTCCAGAGACAAAACTCCAAGAGGACAAAGTCACTATCAGCTAAGTGGCTTTCTCCTACAGAATGCCGAACCCAGGTGAAATTAGAAGAGAGATCTTTATTTCAACTGGCTGGCCCAAGGCTTGATTTGAGTCTTCCAAGATTTCAAAACTGCCAGGGCACAAACTCTCTCCAGAATTCATACCTCTGAATTGTGGCTCAGGATGGTTTGGCCTTGAGACAATCAAGTTAAAGAGAAAAAGAGAGAAGCTAAGAATAGTGGTCCCAGTGCCAGATAGAGCCCCTGGCCCGCCAAAAATCCAAACTCAAGGATTGTGGTGAAGTAGATACCATCCTAGGTAGAATTGACACCTAAGGGGAAGGAGATCTTCACCTCATGGCCAGTACTAGTATGTAAGGGTGGCTGTCTACAAAGTTCTTAAGAAGAAGAAGAAGACACCGAGGTGGTCTCTCTGTCCAATGGGAAAGATTGCTGTGCTCAACAGCACCATCTGTTCTAATCTCAGGAAAGGGAGGGAGAGCATATATTAGTTACTCTCTTCAGATGTTCTGAGAGTTTGGAATTGGGAGAATAGAAAATGAATGGCTCTAGAGCAACCACACTGAGAAGTTAAGGTGAGGTAGGGTCTGACCTCCATGCCACTATGGACTGGCCTGCCTCAGGCCTTATTGTATAGAAGACCACCTTTATGGGCCGTTGTCATAAGCAGTGGTGGGAACAGGCCAAAGAAGATGTGACCAGAGGGAAGCTTGAACTGTTTGAGTTTGCCTAACATACCCCAGATACTAAACTCAACAACCATTTCCTGGAGTTGAGTACTTTAATCCCAAGAGCACCTTCCAGAAGGCAAGAATTAACAGGCACTAAGGTACTGTTAGCATCATTTTTAACCTAAACTAGCCTCCCAGTCTCCAGGTTTATTTTGCTCCAAATCATGGTTACTAATGTTGCCAGAATGTCTCCAACCCGAATACATGCATGGGTCACAAGGATAGTTATGAATGCAGTCCAAGACAAAATTGTAAACCTAGTTAGAACACTATGAGGGTTGTTTGCTGCTTTTTTTCAGTAATTTTTTTATGGGAGAAGGATAACTTGATTCAATGGTTCTCAGGTGTAAACTTTGTTGATGTTGTGATGTCAAAACATTGAACACGCCTGTGTCATGATCAACCCTTCTAAAGATTACTTAATGACTGTGTGATATCACACATCTCTAATCCCATCAGTGGGGAGGTGAGAGGAGGTAGATCAAGATTTCAGGTTCAGCCTTTGCTACATGGAGTTCGAGTCCATCCTAGATTACAGGAGACCTTGATTATGTTTTTAAAGGTAAAATAAAAACAAACAACTGGAGATTCTCCAATGAATTGCCTTGTTACAGAATAGACTGAAATCTCCTGGGATGTAGGTGTCTCTGGACATATGTAGCCATCTATGTCTCTAGCCCTGTGAGTCAGCATTTCTCCAAATGCTCCCTAACACAGCCATTTTCAGAGAAAGGACTTGGTTTAAGACACTCCCTCTGCTATTCCCAGTCCTAGGCAACCACTGATGTCAAAACATTCTACTTTTAGTGGAATAATTTCATTTCAAGGGAAAATTCAACATCTACATAAAGCTGTATGTTTATAGCTGTACTGTATGTCTCTTGCTGTCAGTTGTAGGAGTATAGATTAATAACTGCTGTAGCCTGAATGTTTATGCCTCTCTAAAGTTAGTTTGTTGGAATTTTTAGCTCCAGGGTGACAACACTAATGGTGGGGCCTTTAGGAGAGAAGATACTTAATCTCGTTAATGATATCGGCTTGAGTCGTTCCCAGGAGACCAATGAAGCACACCTGTGCACATCTTCAAGGATGTTTCCAGAGGTCATAAAGAAAGCAGTCCATCTGCATGTGGACATCCAGGTTGGGGAACCACACAGAACAAAACAGAAAGTCTGCTGGTGCCCGGGTTCTCTCTGTCTCTTGACTAGCATATGAGCCACCCTGCCCTAACACACCCTTCCTTTATGACAGAATGAGTCCTCTGAAAATGTAAGCCATGCTAAATCCTACATGCATTTTTTTCTTTTGAATATTTTGCCATAGAGATGGAGAGTCTGGCTAATATAGCAGGTCATAAAATTGCAAGGGTAGAACCTAACAGACAGTATCAGTGACCTTACGAAAGAGGCATGAGAGAAAGCCCTTGCCCATTCTAGCATGTGTGGATACACAAAAAAGTCAGCATTTATGAACCATACCAGGTCCTTACAGGATGCCAGATTTGCCTGTGACTTGATCTTAAATTGCCCAGCCTCTCTAGACATGAGAAAAACATTTCTGTTCTTTTTAATTTTTTCTTTTTAGATTTGTTAAAAAATTTATGTGCATGAGATTTTCCTGCATAAATGTGTGTGCACCATGTGCATGCCTGGTGCCCATGGATATCAAGAGAGAGTGCCATCCCTGGAACTGGAGTTAAAGGGTTGTGAGCCGTCGTGTTGGTGCTGAGAACCAGATCAGGGTCCTCTGCAGAGGTCTTAACCAATGAATCATTGCTCTAGTCCCAACCTTTCTGTATGGCATTTTGTTACAGTCCTAACACTGTATGGCAATGAGGAACTTCCATACTAGCCAGCTATATTTAACATTTAAATATTTTTTATTTCTGTTATAGTTTTTTTTTAAAAAAAGAAAGAGACACTTTTTTTTCTGAGACCAGGTTTCTCTGAGTAGCTTTGGAGCCTATCCTGGCACTTGCTCTGGAGACCAGGCTGGCCTTGAACTCACAAAGATCCACCTGCCTCTGTCTCCCGAGTGCTGGGATTAATGGCGTGCACCACCAACGCCAAGCTCAGAGACACTTTTTTTTAACACAAGGGTTGTGTTAAGCTGAATGGAGGAAGGCATAATTATGATGTGATTATTATTTTCATTTGGAAATTAAGCATACATGAGGCAATATGATAATTAGTCAAGTTGACAAGGGGTGGATTGTGATGGCTATTCTTAACTTGACTGCACTTGAAATGAACTAAAACCCATGCTGGGTACACCTGTGAGGGTTTTTTTTTCTTAATTAAATAATTTGAAGTAGGAAGACCCCACCTTTAATCCCAATGTCTAGCTCTTTCTAACACTCTATTCCTGCACTGGCATCAGACCCTGCTTCTTCAGGATTCCAGAGTAGACCCGCAGCCTCTGGATGGACCAATTACTAAGTTCTTGGACTTTCCATTGGTAGACTACCAACTGT